CAACCAAGCGGTGGAGCGCTTCAGGTTGTACCATGTTAAATGGTAACGCAACAGCTTATCCATTGTGTCGCGAGCCTCCTCGGACATGTCAGACGCGATCTTAACCGCCGCCACAGTTGCCTTCAACTCAGGATCAGACTCCACGAGCTCGGTGTCTACGCGTTGATCCTCCTGGTGAGAACTCCAGAGGAAGTCCGGCCCCTGTGGCCATCGCGTACACTCCACGTAGTCGTCCGCTGTCAAACCTCGTGAAGCGACGTCCGCCGGGTCCGCGAGATTGGTCGATACGTATCTCCACTGCGATGGATCCAAATGCTGATGAATGGTTTCAACGCGATTCGCGACAAACGTTTGGAATCTGGTGGTTTCATTAGCGATATACCTAAGTACCGTCATACTATCACTCCAGAACACTCTTGCCCAATGCCAGCTCGTCGCAGAGCTCTCTCTGTAACATGGCGTCCATGTTCGCGGACACGGTAGCCGCCGTCAATTCGAGTCTTGGTACCGTAACGCGTTTCAGCGGAGATACTCGGGCCTTTCCCATCAAGAAAGCGCAATGAGCCCTACCGTCGCCATTGGTTAGGCGCGGGTAAGATACTCATCCGTAACCCACCTCACTCGCGTCGGCAAAGTGATGAATCTTGGCCGATTTTATAGCGCCGAAGCCCGCTGGCTTATAACATCGCTGCACGTGAAGTTTGACCAACTTAGGAAGATCCTTGAGCCAAACTAGCCACCTGGCCTTCTGACCCGGAGGAATGTCCTCGTCCCAGCCGAGCTTTATGTCGCAGAGTTCCTGCAGAAGCACCTTGGCTGTGAGGATGAATGGTGCCACAAATCCGAGGGGATCGAAGATAGAACTTACAATGGACAGAAGCCCTCGTCTGGTGGCTGGCTAATCCTTGACCACTATCCTGAACCTGAAAGTATCCGACTCAATCAGCCATTCGACACCTAACACGCGTTCTACAGGCTGACTTCCCCCGCTCTAAATCGATTCCCTTCACATCCTTCGCTAGATCCTCCTCCGGTATTGTCTGCAGCACGGGTCTACTATTACTTCCCCACTTAGTCAGTTTGAATCCTCCGTCGTCGCTTACCGCGCGCAAATCTTTGGCCAAGCTTATCGCTTTCTCGTCATTCGGTGCCGCATTTAAACAGTCATCCACGTAAATATTCTTCTTGATTGTCTGAATAACCACAGCGGGGTAAGAATCCTTGTTGTCCTCTGCTGTTCTTTTAACCGCATAGCTCGCGCAACTCGGCGACGATGTCGCACCGAAACATGCAGTACACAGAAAGCTCACCATTGACGTTACCTTCGGGCCACCACAGGAACCTCCACATATCTTGGTCCTCCAGTTGCACCCAAACCTGGTGGAACATTGCCTCAATAGAGGAAGTGAGCGCCACCTCTTCGCTCCTAAAGCGCAACAGAACACCAACTAATGTATTTGTAAGGTTTGGCCCTTGTAATAGCTTATCGTTTAATGACACACCCCGGTAGCGCGCGGCACAATCAAAGACGACGTGAATTTTATCGGGTTTGTGGGGGTGGTTATACCCCGTGGTGCGGCAGATACCACACCCTCCCGTTATCGCGATTCACTTCAGCCTCATCCACTTTCTCTGCATAGCCCTTGTTCAATAAATTGTTAACGAACGCCTCATAGTCCGTGAAGTATTTATTGTCGGACCTTTCGAATTTCTTCGCCAAATAACGAGCGCGCTGTCTCACACGAGATATATTGTTCGGCAATGCAACGTTGTCATTCAACGGTAATCCTATCTCGTAATGCCCATCCTTGAAAACAACGCTCTTCTCGAGTTTTTCCATGAAAATCCTATCCTCGATGGAGTACCCGTGTTCCGCTCCAATGGAACGCTCAACAAAGTCTAAATTGAAATAGCCTTTCACCTGTTTCTGCAAATCGCAATCACTAATCTGTTGGCTATTGATGGAGATCCTGGGACTATCCACCGAATCAGCGCTACCCTTCAGTGGGCCGTTTACTGCCCAACACCGCACGGTTTGGACGGCAAATGGCCCGTTGCCCTGACTATTTACAACCCGCCATGGCTCCAACGCTTGCGGAACATTGTTGCCTAACATCAAACCAACATTTGCGGTAATACTCGGAATTTTTCACTTCGCGAAGGTACGGCCATCTATTGACATCTTCCTGGGTCGGTATCTCCTCCCTTGATACAGGCAACTCATTCATAGTATACACCTTGGTTTCGTTCCCTCGTGGTCTGCCCGACCCATCACCATCTATCGTGGAGGTAATACGGCAGCTTACCCACCAGCAACCTGATGTTGTCCGAATACTCGAACACTCGAGCGGCGTCCACACTTTGGACTGCATATTGACACTCAGTCATATCCATTGTGTCGCGAGCCTCCTCGGACATGTCAGACGCGATCTTAACCGCCGCCACAGTTGCCTTCAACTCAGGATCAGACTCCACGAGCTCGGTGTCTACGCGTTGATCCTCCTGGTGAGAACTCCAGAGGAAGTCCGGCCCCTGTGGCCATCGCGTACACTCCACGTAGTCGTCCGCTGTCAAACCTCGTGAAGCGACGTCCGCCGGGTCCGCGAGATTGGTCGATACGTATCTCCACTGCGATGGATCCAAATGCTGATGAATGGTTTCAACGCGATTCGCGACAAACGTTTGGAATCTGGTGGTTTCATTAGCGATATACCTAAGTACCGTCATACTATCACTCCAGAACACTCTTGCCCAATGCCAGCTCGTCGCAGAGCTCTCTCTGTAACATGGCGTCCATGTTCGCGGACACGGTAGCCGCCGTCAATTCGAGTCTTGGTATCGTAACGCGTTTCAGCAGAGATACTCGGGCCTTTCCCATCAAGAAAGCACAATGAACCCTGCCGTCACCATTGGTTAGGCGCAGGTAAGATACCAATCCGTAACCCACCTCACTCGCGTCGGCAAAGTGATGAATCTTGGCCGATTTTATAGTGCCTAAGCCCGCTGGCTTATAACATCGCTGCACGTGAAGTTTGACCAGCTTAGGAAGATCCTTGAGCCAAACTAGCCACCTGGCCTTCTGACCCAGAGGAATGTCCTCGTCCCAGCCGAGCTTCATGTCGCAGAGTTCCCGCAGAAGCACATTGGCTGTGAGTACGAATGGTGCCACAAATCCGAGGGGATCGAAGATAGAACTTACAATGGACAGAAGCCCTCGTCTGGTGGCTGGCTAATCCTTGACCACTATCCTGAACCTGAAAGTATCCGACTCAATCAGCCATTCGACACCTAACACGCGTTCTATAGGCTGACTACCCCGCTCTAAATCGATTCCCTTCACATCCTTCGCTAGATCCTCCTCTGGTATTGTCTGCAGCACGGGTCTACTATTACTTCCCCACTTAGTCAGTTTGAATCCTCCGTCGTCGCGTACCGCGCGCAAATCTTTGGCCATGCTTATCGCTTTTCCGTCATTCGGTGCCGCTTTTAAACAGTCATCCACGTAAATATTCTTCTTGATTGTCTGAATAACCTCAGCGGGGTAAGAATCCTTGTGTTCCTCTGCTATCCTATTAACCGCATAGCTCGCGCAACTCGGCGACGATGTCGCGCCGAAAATATGCACCTTCATGCGGTACACAGAAAGCTCACCATTGACGTTACCTTCGGGCCACCACAGGAACCTCAACATATCTTGGTCCTCCAGTTGCACCCAAACCTGGATCACCAACTAATGTATTTGTAAGGTTTGGCCCTTGTAATAGCTTATTGTTTAATGACACACCCTGGTAGCGCGCGGCACAATCAAAGATGACGCGAATTTTATCGGGTTTGTGGGGGTGGTACACCACGTGGTGCGGCAGATACCACACCCTCCCGTTATCGCGATTCACTTCAGCCTCATCCACTTTCTCTGCATAGCCCTTGTTCAATAAATTGTTAACGAACGCCTCATAGTCCTTGAAGTATTTATTGTCGGACCTTTCGAATTTCTTCGCCAAATAACGAGCGCGCTGTCTCGCATGAGATATATTGTTCGGCAATGCAACGTTGTCCTTCAACGGTAATCCTATCTCGTAATGCCCATCCTTGCAGCAACGCTCTTCTCGAGTTTTTCCATGAAATTCCTATCCTCGACGGAGTACCCGTGTTCCGCTCCATGGGGACGCTCAACAAAGTCTAAACTGAAATAGCCTTTCACCTGTTTCTGCAAATCGCAATCACTAATCTGTTGGCTCTTGATGGAGATCCTGGGACTACCCACCGAATCAGCGCTACCCTTCAGTGGGCCGTTCACTGCCCAACCCCGCACGGTTTGGACGGCAAATGGCCCGTTGCCCTGACTATTTACAACCCGCCATGGCTCCAACGCTTGTGGAACATTGTTGCCTAGCATCAAACACATTTGCGGTAATACTCGGAATTTTCACTTCGCGAAGGTATGGCCATCTATTGACAACTTCCTGGGTCGGTATCTCCTCCCTTGATACAGGCAACTCATTCATAGTATACACCTTGGTTTCGTTCCCTCGTGGTCTGCCCGACCCATCACCATCTATCGTGGAGGTAATACGGCAGCTTACCCACCAGCAACCTGATGTTGTCCGAATACTCGAACACTCGAGCGGCGTCCACACTTTGGACTGCATATTGACACTCAGTCAATGTCAGAGAAAATTTATCAAGCGCCTTGGCATCGTCTGATCTGACCACTGGCCAATCTAGGGTCTTTCTAACCAAGGCAAACGCTATACCATCAGAGTCGCCGTACCTAGATTCAAACCCTCTCATTGCCGCTACATAGCCAACTTTAGCGTCTAAGTGGGCGTATCCCAATACAATCTTGCGCGCTTCTCCCGCGGTGAACTGCTCCAAAAAATTCAATTGTAAAAAGGGTGGGGTTACATTACCTGTGGACTGTTGACTGATGGCGGAAGTATTGGCAATCTGCCTTACATCCAGACTCTAGCGTGACGAGTTGTTGCCCTGTAGCACCAACAATGAGAAGTTCAACAGCTGGAAAGCCGACCTGGCCATCCTGGCAAACTTGTGAGCCGGAAAGAAAAGGGTGTAACAATAAGCCAATTTCCGTTGGAGAGATAGTGTGCAGTAGGTCTTGGAGACATCATAAATGCGACTGAGCGCTTGCAATATGTATTAATGAATTGTGTGAGGTTACGGAAAAGGGCAATCCCGCACGAGTGGATGGCAGTAGTGGGGTATGCGGGTGTGTTCAATGGGCAAACTTGTTGCTGCTCATCAAGGCACTTGTGTGTTGTTTGAGTATCTGGTTCAATGTAAGAAGTATAATCGCTGGTGACAGCGATATACTTCTGTTCGGTGACATATCTTGCGGCCACTGCGGTAGATGCATTAGATCCCGGGAGATAGACAGGGACCGTGAATAGCTCATACCTGGCGAAGGTAAGGTCACGCCTCTGGAGCGGAATACAGGCAAGTACATGGAATCGCTGATAACCTGGAACCACAATGGTCTGAATGGTATCGTAATAGCGAAGTAAGGCACTACTGGCTGCGTATGGAAGTTCCAAAGACATAGGCAGTGCAAGCCGAATGACATCGAGGATGCGTGACAACCTGTGCGGTGGCAGTAATGCCACGGGTAAACGGCCGCTGAGGAGGGTGTCGACTGAATGTGAGATGGACTCTAATGCATCCTCGATTTGTTCAAAAGCGAGTGTCAACCCACTGAGTGTTAGATGTAAACGTGTGATGTACTTAAATTCTAGTAGTGTATACTCACGATAGTCAGCAAGGTCCCGAGCTATTTCGTCAACCGAACCGGCAATGTACTGTAACGGATAACCTTGTCCAATTTCTGGGTGTTAAGCTGTGTATTTAGACGGGTTAAATTAATGACGGTTAGACTGTCATCGAGAATTTGTGACATGTGTGATTGAGAAAGCTGCATGGCAGGCAATTGCTTCTCTAAATATTCTAAATCTTCTTCTGTCGCAGTGCCAAAAAGAAATTTCAAAAGTTTACCTATTCCTGCGATTATAGCCCGAGGAAAGCGACCTCGGTGAAGCGAATGTAGGTCCCTTGTGCGTGCGTTTAGTAGGGAGTACTTGTCGGTAAACCATTGCAGGTGACTAACAATCATTGTGTGAAGCTGGTTAGTAAAACGCATTAGTCGATCATGCCCATCGTTAGTGGTTGGCTCACTAGCATGGTATGGGTTTGTGGGTATAGTGAGGTTTACAAGCTCAGTGTGAAGTTTAGTAAGATACTGATCAAGGATGGAGGTGTTGACAGTGAAAGCGATGGCCCATGTGCTCTGTGATAGCGCCAGTTTGCCTCTAGGGACGAAGATTGAACCAAAAACCCAACGCCCTTCTTGCCATTGACCGCGATGATACTTTTGATGAAAGTAGTTACTCTCGTCGATATTAACGACGATGGGCTCCCCGTTGTCATGTAAGCCTCCGAGTTCTTGTGGATTGTCCTCTATGTAGTGCTCGCAAATTTTCCGCATGAAATTACACCAGTCAATAATTGTTGTTGGAGCAACATCCGCTTCGCGAATGATCTGTACTTGGGTGAAATTCCAAGCCCACATGTAGATGATCAAAACAAGCTTGTTCAGAGGCAAATGGCTTCGTGAAAAAACGAATTATTCCGTACAGATTGAGAGAAGTTGTCGAGACTACATCGCCACCTCCATCCATCCTGTCCCTGCACGTAGCGGTTGAGCATGCAACATTCATTACAATAAGGGCAGTCAACATTGACACTAAACCCCGTTCGGCCAGCCACTGTAAAACTTGAAAATTCTTCTGTATTGCAGTGATTAGTGTAAGCATCGTAAGGTTGCCCTGAATGACGTTATTCAAAGGTAAAATGTTCTGTACTATTGTAGTGCGCGTGTGCGGTCGACCAACCAGGTGTGCCATCTTTCCAAAGTGATGACATTTACAAGGGTCGAAATAAGCGATGGTCCAATGGTCCGGGGCCATCAAATAATCAGGAGGACCATCAGATTTTCAAAGTCTGGTCCGACGGACCATTGAATATTTTGGTCCTGGTAATTTTCTTTGAAGTTACCAATATACTATTCAAGTGAATAAACAATTACTGTATCGTTTGATACATTCATTGTACAACGAACGAGCTTGGCAATCGCCCGCTCGCCAATGTCGAGTGAAAATAATATCGGGCGAGTAAAACCTAAAGCTGAGTAAAAAAGCTAGCTAAGCTAAAAATTATTGTCTAAAACTTTAATCAAATGTTGGTTCCTTACGTTATATATTCAAACATTGATGAAAAACAGTTCTAGCGATTATGAAGGGCGCTATCGCACGGCACTCTCACTTTGATTATTAAAGGTCGCCGACAGTCACCGCAGCGTGGCTGTGTATACGTGCCTGGGGCGGCATATTGATTGATGTACGGGGGGTGGGAGTGCAGTATTGGGTGTGCACACGCACACGCACACACACACACACTGTTACATTATTTGGGCGTAAGTAGCCAGTTCACTGATCTATATATATATATAACGTTATATATATGTAATTTTCTCCTCTATGTTATGTATAAAGTAAATAGATCCATTTGGCATCAGTGAACACTCTGCTTTTCTGAACAGTGAACACTTTTTCTCGGTCCCATGCCCTATTTTATATAGCAAAATCACCCCAAAGGAGTGAACACTCATAATCCACCCACAACCCCCTCACCATGCAATCAGTGGTTCACACAGTGGTGACGTCCTTCCCTCTGTGTTGATATTACAATTAACACAGGTATAAGACGGTCAGTGGTCACCACTCACACTCTCCTTTACCATCAGAGGTGTGGATCCATGTTTGTTAAACAGTAGCTTGTTATAATAGTGTAAATAAATAGCCTAGATCTGCCAGTTTGTAGATGTGAGTTTTTCAGTTCACTTCTGTGTATGCAAATTGAGAATTATGGCTGCAAAAATGAAAGCGCTGACATTGCGCGAAAAATATTGCCATGGGCCAAGACCCCCAAAATAGGTTGTTTTTACCATATGGAGGGACCAGTGCTATCATGACTTTTTTGGAATCTGCAATAACTGAAGTTTATTATAAGCCATGATAGCAAGCTTCTATGAGTATCAAGTGAAGTCAT